AAAATTGAACATAAAGCTTCACAGATCAGACTGACATTCCCTTTGAACTAATATTTCTACTTTATCTTCTGGAGGAAAACAGTGGCCATGCTTCTTCACTGGGTGTTTTAACAGTTACTGTGTTTTAGAAGTATAAAAATGGAAATGAACTAATGCCCTGTACAGTCTGTTTCATAGGGTGTGGTCTGCTTTTCAGGAGCTGGAAAAAGCTTTAACTAAAAGTAGAAGAGTTAGGGAAACAGTTTTTTTGTTTTTGCTTTTTTAGCTCTACTGAAAATAACCCATTTGTCTTTATGCAAGCATTTCATTTTTCTCCTCCTTAATATTTCCATAAATAATATCTTTACATATTTGCTACTCAGATGCCCCACCAAAACACTGTAAGAAAATGAGATTACAGGATGTAAAAGAATTACCAAAGAGTTAATAAAGCTTGGTGTGACTCTTCTAGACTCACCCCCCTCAGCCCAAACTAGCCTTCTCTCTTCAGAGTCATTCATCAAAACATATTCACTACTGGGTTTAAACTATTACCTTCAACTGGATGTCATCAAATCTATTGTTTCAATCCTGTCCTCCAGCACAACCCAGTCTCTTTTGGAAATAACCCATGTTTCCCACCCCATCTGCAGTGCCCTTCACCTTTTCCTGCTTCTGTGCATCCACCTCCTGGTTCTCCCGGCATGAGACCTTGAAGACACCTTCACTCATTCCTGTGCATCCCCCGTGATGCCACCCCCATGACACAGGGGAAAGAGAGCTGTGTTTCCATGAGAAGACTTGGTTTGAATCCCACCCTCTACTGTTTAAGACCTGGTGACCTTGAACAAGTTGCTGACCTTTCTGAGCCTCTGTTCCATCATCCATACAGCTGGACTAAGAACACAACACAGGGGTTGTTTTAAATAATAAATGCAGCCAGGCATGGTGGCTCACACCTGTAGTCTCAGCACTTTGGAAGGCTGAGGTGGGTGGATCACATGAGGCCAGGAGTTCAAGACCAGCCTGACCAACATGGTGAAATCCCGTCTCTACTAAAACTACAAAAATTAGCTGGGTGTGGTGGCAGGCACCTGTAATCCCAGTGACTCAGGAGGCTGAGGCATAAGAAATCTCTTGAACCCAGGAGGTGGAGGTTGCAGTGAGCCGAGATCATGACACTGTACTCCAGGCTGAGGAGACAGAACAAGACTCTGTCGCAAAATAAATAAATAAATAATAAATGCCATAATGTATATATATATATATATATACAATAGATATCATCCCTCCTTCTCTCCTTTCCTTCCTCCCTCCCTCCTGCCCTCTCTCCCTTCCTTCCTTCTCTCCCATCTGTCCTTCTTTTTCCATTCCTAATGCCTCTTCAAGAAGAGTGGTCCTTGTGGGAAAAACAATGAGATTGAAAGACAGGCTGGCTAGAGGGTACAGGGACCCAAGGGCTGGAGGGAGCAGTAGAAAAACACCACAAAGAAAGGAAAACAGGCTCCAGAGTCCTGCTGCGGGTAGCAGAGGAAAGGGCCTGGCTCTAGTGGGTCAAGTCAGGATGCCCTCCCTTGTCCTTGTGACACTTCCTAGATTTTTAACCTCTGCTACTGAATAGTTAAAGCCAATATTAAAATCGCTTAATTGACTGCCCTTCCCAAACAACTTTTATGTATATAATAATTCATGGATTCTTTGGGTATTCTCAGTCCTAAGAACTAAAAAACTTTCAAGCTGGGCACGGCGATTCACGCCTGTAATCCCAGCACTTTGGGAGGCCGAGGCGGGCAGATTACCTGAGGTCAGGAATTTGAGACCATCCTGGCCAATACATAGTGAAACCCTGTCTCTACTAAAAAATAATACAAAAATTAGCTGGGCGTGGTAGCACATGCCTGTGGTTCCAGCTACTTGGGAAGCTGAGGCAGGAGAATCGCTTGAACCTGCAGTGAGCCAAGATTGTACCACTGCACTCCAACCTGGGCGACAGAACGAGACTCCATCTCTCATAAAAACAAAAAGAAATAAAAACTTTCAACTCCTTATGTGAGGGAACACCGCTCCCTGTTACTGTTGGTAGAAATTGATCTTATGCTGTTTCTACTATGAGCCTAGAGTGTAGGGTTCTAGCAGTTCCCTTGCCTGGGAGCACATGAGCAATGAGATATTGCACAGAATTCAGAATCTTGGCAGGAGCTGGTTTAAGACAAGCATGGCTTGGCCATTGACTGGGTGAGGGGAATATCAGTCACCTCTGCTCTGGAATTTTAGGAAAGGAACACCCCGCACATCAGAATCAGGAACTTGCTAATGACTACACCGGCTATGACGTGTTGGGATACAGCAGTCGGCTGATAGCAACTGGAGAGAGTAGTTCACATAATCCCATGGTACACCTGCTGACACATCTCTCCCACTCTGTAGCATGAACTGAGGGGCCACAGTGCCTGGGACTAAAGTCCAGCTCCATCACTGACTAGCTGTGGGACTTTGGAAGAGTCAATGTCTCTTGGCCTCAGTTATCTGTAAAGCGGGGCTAATAATAGTGTGTACCTCATAGAGTTGTTTTAAAAACTAAACTAGTTATTGCATGGAAAGCACTTAGCACACATAACATCCAGCATATAATTTACACCATGTAAACGTATGTTAATTTCCTTGCTGACTAGTTGTGGCTTCATTTCTTCCAGAAAGCTTTCTTTGGTTGAATCCCCAGACTGGTTTGGTGTTTCTATTCTGCCCTCTCACATACTTTGAGCTTCATCTGTTAAAGCTGGAACCACGATGACTTAAAATGTGTTTAAGCATATTTGGAGGACAAGGTGGACGCTCTGAGGTCATGGAAGACTAAGCAGAGGAAAGGAGGCTGGGGCAGCTCTGAGGGTGTTTGAGTTTCATACGCATCTAGGCCCACCCCCAATGCTCTCGGCAGCGGTCGCCTGCTTGCTCTAGACAAAGGCTGGACTTCAGGCAGAAGCCTGCCCAGTGACCACTGGCCCAGCTAGGCGGGAAGGCCCCAGGGGACTCTGTGGCAGTACAGGGCCCTATGGAGGAACTTTGTCCTGCTACAGAGCTGCGCTCTTGGTGAACCCAGGAGACATTGCTGAGTTTGAGACAGAAGGACCTGGCTATGGGAGACCTGGTCTTGCTCTCACCACTCATCATTGGGAAATGGTGGCTGTCACATGAACTGCTGCACTAATAGCTCTCTTGGCTTTAGGTAGAAGTTCTTATTCTGCCTGAATTAGTTTCCTGGGGCTGCCACAACAAAATACCACAGACTGCGTGGCTTAAACAACAGTAATTCATTATCTCATGCCTACAAGTCCAAGACCAAGGTGATGGGAGGGTGGGTCCTGCGAAGGCCTTGAGGGAAGGAGCTGCTCCAGGCCACTCTTCCTGGCTTGTGAAGCGCCATCTTTTCTCTATGTCTTCACATCACCCTCCCTCCGTATATGTCTCTGTCCAAATTTCCTCTTCTTTTAAGAACAGAT